CGTCCCCATGTTTGGTCCCCCCTCTGTTGGGGTACCTAGCACACAGATCTGGTACTAAAAGGTGGAGCTGTGAACACTGCAGTCTGATTGGTCAGTAGAGGACGGTCACTCTGCTCAGGGCTGAGTTGTGTCTGGTTTTGAGGCTCATGTAACCACTGTTCATACTGTGGAGAGTTTTATTAGTAAACTGTAACTATAAAATGAAAGGATGTTTTGCTGCCTCTCACAGCAGCTGGAGTCTGAGAAAAAATAACTTCATTCACTGGGCCGACTGCCGGTGACTTTTAAGGTGGAACGTTAACTTGTAATGTTACTCAATGCATGAGTTGATGACGTGAATCCATCAGCATTTCAATACAACAGTTTTGGATGACATGCATTTTTAATGAGTGGATCTTCAAGCATTAAAAAAAATACATTAATTTCAACCAGATTATGTGAACTGCATATTCTAATTCTCACTTGGAGAAAAAGCGTGGTGGAGTGTTTTTCCTGTGGGCTACAACAACACTAAACCCCTGAGCTTGTCTGAGAATGACTAAATGCACAAAGCTGCTATTTTTAAATATCCCATGGAGAGAGACTCTCACTGCAGCCTGTTCTATTTTGTTCTGAAAATGTCGGCGTGCAGCCTCGTTCTGTGGACGATAAACAAGTGCAGACTTCCATCTCTATCCCAAAGATGAAATACAGCAAAAGCTGAACAGAGTACTGTCTGCAGTGGAAACACCAAACTGATCCAGGGTCTAGCTGTGTGGGGGTTATTTTTGGTACTAAAGGTACTATACCAAAAGTTTTTCGTGGAAAAGGGGCTTAAGCTGGGGCCTGTATCACAAAGCAGGATTAATGTCTCAGCGAGGTAACTTCAGGGTTAACCCTGGGTTTTCGGTCTCACGAAGCCGGTTCAGTTCTTATTGGGGTAGATCACCATGGTAACTTACTCTGAACTGCTATCCTGCTCTGGAGCAGGGTAAGTTCAGGGTTGAATCTGATCCTATAAAAAGCACCACCCACTGGCCAATCAGCTGTTTGGAAAAAAATACTCCGCTGACAGAAATGCAGCCCAGTCATGACGGGAAGTTTAATTAATTTGATTGATTTTGATTTGAAAGTTTATTTTGAGTGGAAAGAAGTCGAAATTTCATCCCACCCCTTTATAAGAAAGAAACTGATCATTTGCGGACACTTAATAGCACCATTAATAAGTGCCAACATTTTGTTTTGTTGGAGGAAATGATCCCTGTTAAAGATAATGGGCCTAATTGACAGCTTTGCTGCTGGAAATGTGGAAAGTAGCCTGTCACGTCTACACTTGGTGTTTGAGGGATTTTCCTTTTTGTTTTTTAAAGAGGGAGACTAGGTATATTTTTGCTCAGCTGTTAATTTCTAACACAGCTCAATATCAGGATGATTTTATTCAGACTATCAATTTGGTGTTGATATGATTTAATTGTGGCGTCAGCTTTAAGCTTTATTGTAGCATATATAACGTTATGACAAAGAAGACCAGTTTATCAGACGCAATGATGTTAGATGATAATTGTAATACACGCAATTCATCTGCGCAGCATTGATTTCATGGGATTCAAGGGTGTGATCAGTGTCAGATGTACAGGTACAGGTACTGTAGCTACTTGAACCAGTGATGAGTAATTTAACCTACACATCATTTTATTTGCTACCTTGTTTTGTCTTGATTTTTCCCTCTCTCCTCCTCTATTTCTTCTTTCCTGACCCGTTTTTTTTTCTTCTCTATCATGTGATTTCATTGATGTTTTGACAGGGGAATTTCTTTGATAAGCTTTTAGTGGCTTCTAACCTCTCCGGCACTTTTCTTTTTTTAATCTTGTAAATTTTATACTGTCTGTTTTTAACATTATGTGCAAATAAACTAATCTAAACTAAAACTAAACATTATTCATCCCGTTATGCGTTGCCACGCATGTTTCCTCCTCCTGCAGCTGCCACGGTGTTGGCCTTTTCTCTAATGTTGCTTTTCTCCTCCTCATATTTTAGTAGAATTAATCTCTGATCCTCACGAGAAATACTTTTTTTCCCCCCCATACGGCGCTCTGTGAGGACGCTCAGTGACGCTCAGTGACGCTGAGCTTCTCTCATGATTGTGATTGGTCCGCTGCGTGCGCGTTCACGGCTCTTGATAAAGCAACTCTGGGTTGAGTTACCGAGTTGATATCCAGCGTCGTGATACCGATTATCCTGATTGCCATTGTTAGGGTTAGTCAACCCAGGATAGGTCTGGGTAACCCAGGAAAGGTTGATCTCACTTCGTGATACAGGCCCCTGGTCAGGCCGTAGTTCAGTTTACATCTTTACATTATGTCTTTACACAGTCAAAACTTCATCACAGATGAATCACATGACAAGTTCAAATGTTTTTTAGTGATAGCAATAAATGTATCCACCATGTAAATACAGTCAGTGATGTAAGTCAGTCAGTAACTCGCTGTGCTTGATCCCATTTAATGGTCGACCACAGACCTTTGATCCCCCGACGACGAGCCTGAATCAACCGATCATTTAATTGCTACATGCAACTACTTGCCAAAGTTTCGGGTTTTAAACGACAAACACTTAACTGTCCCGTACGAGCATCTGGCTGCTGCTGCATCAATCAAACATAGACTTTTACTGAAGGGGTACAATACACCCGAAATCCCATCAGCAGCACCCCCCGCCCCCCCACCCAGCCCCTGACTGCTTTTCTTTCTCTCTTTCAGTTAGTTGTTGTTAAGCTCAGCCACTAATGGCTTTGGTTGGGACTGTGGTCGACTGCGTTACCACTGCCCTGCCCTCAAATATATACACACACATAAACACACACACACACACACACGCACTGTGCACCCACACTAAGACATATAGAAACATATATGTCTGTGTATTCATGTTCTGTCTCTCATTTGTGTGCAAACTTAATTATAAATGTGTCGTCTCGGTCTCATTTTGATGTGTGTGTGTTAGAGAGTGTGTGTGTGCAGACATGTGTGTGAGTGTGTGTGTGTGTGTGTGTGTGCTACAGTTTGCATGCGTGTGTGCCTTGAATGTGTATATTCGCATGTGTGTGTGTGTGTGAGAAGCTCCATTCTCAGTTGGGCAGAAACAATGGAACCTCTCTGATTACATCTCCCTGTACAGGCGGACAGGGTGTGTGTGTGTGTGTGTGTGTGTGTGTGTGTGTGTGTGTGTGTGTGTGTGAAGCTTCAGGGGGGAGGAAAGGGTGGCGGTCGCGGAGGAGGAAAGAGGGGGAGGCGATGCTTGGACCTGCCCCCCTCCCTCCTCTGCTTTGTCTCCCACACACACACACACTCGTCCCTTCCTCTCGCGCCCGCCTGGCGTCTCATTGGTTAAATCCCCGGCTATATATTTATGTGATTGGTCAGGGCGGGGTATATATACTCAGCGTGGGTCGGTTAAATCTGGCCACAAGTTTCAAAACTTTCAAACAGGGCAGACAGACAGAGAGACAGAGAGTCGGACGGCCCGTGTGACAGAGAGGAATCAAGCTTTGGACAAACCGCTGCACCACACACTCCAAACAAGAACTGTTGTCTTTTGAGAAAGAAAAAAAAAGAGTGAAGAAAAGAAAGAGGCAGAGTCATTGTGGATCATTTTCAGGGGGAATATCCTGCACCACATCTTGTTTGTTTTCTCTTTCTTTCTCGTCTTCCCCCTCCTCTCAGATCTCGATGCTTTGCTTTGGGATTTGTGCTCCAAATCCATCAGATTCCTCTCTTGATCTTTCTCTTTGTCATCTGAAACATTTTGAGCTACAAATTTTTTCCAGAACTTTGCAACCCAACAAAGTGAAACAGACGTTTGCAGAATTTCACTTGGACTAAAAGTTGAATCCAAGCCCGGTTCTGGAATGAATTTAACCGAGCCCAGCTTGTCTAGAGAGACTCTCCTGCATGCCAGCCGGATGTCCCTCGGGGGCCCCTGGGTATCCGGGACCCCGAGCCCTGCTTCTGATTCTGAAATGGGCTTTGAGCAGAACCTCTCCGGGGACTGCAGCTCTCCCGACGGCCTCGGAAGCGGGAGCATGAGGAGGACAGAGCCAAGGATTTCTCTGACGCCCAGTTCAGGGGGACAGAGTCCGGACCTGAGCCAGGCTGGAGGTGTGTCGGCGGGCACGGCCGATGGGAAGGCTGTGGGGGGCGAGCAGAGGATCCGCAGGCCCATGAACGCCTTCATGGTCTGGGCTAAAGATGAGAGGAAGCGACTGGCCGTGCAGAACCCCGACCTGCACAACGCTGTGCTCAGCAAGATGCTCGGTAAGACTGGGAACAAAATCTGATCAGGAAAAAAACTGTATGTAGGGCATCAAAACTTTCCAGTAAACCAGACTGGTGAATCCAATTAGAAAGTTTATCACTAAGGAGAGTTGTGAGAATCACCAAACCTTGGTTATTTTACTTCTTTGCATTCATTTTAATTTTTCTGAAGTGTGAAATCTGTCACATCTGAACCAAACCTCCCAAAAGCATCTTAAGGCTCGGATGACCTTTGCCCCAGAAGATCATTTGAGTCTTAACGTTTTTGTGAAGCAGAGCCCTGAACAGTTTAAACCAACGTATCAAAAAAGTTTGATAAAGCTCATGTTTGAGTCAATATTTGTATAATATTATTTTCCTCTGACCAGTATTTATAGCTCAGAGTCACAGACCCCACCCATCTGAGTCACTGTATCCCAGTAGTGCTAATAGTACTAACATAAACCATGAGGAGCATCATAGTAGAGTATGTCCGACATAAATATACATATTTATATAACTGCACAATGAGCATATTACCCTCACAAACTGCATCATTTTAACAAAGTGATACTAATTTGGTCCCATAATATTTATACGTACAGTTTGTACTCTTGTTTTTGTTTGCTGTTTTATACACACACACAGTTTGACTATTTTATTAAATCTGTATATTTATATAATGGTTGAATTCATGAACAGTCTGTTCACTGAGTTGCCAGGTTTGAGCGGGCTTTAAGTGTTAACAGCTTCACTCTTAACGGCTGAAGCAGTAAACTGACATCTGTGATAAATCACGATTGGCTGAGGAGCAAATGTTAACGACCTTATCTAAAATATCTTGCAGTGAGATAATTACAATATGTCGTGCCTAGATGTGCACATTAAATTAATGAAGTTGGTCTTCTGAGCATCAAACAGTCAACTGAGAGGTGTACAAAATGTCCATAGAAACTTCTCAAACCGCTCCTCCAGCATAAATAAATGTGTCCACAGTCCATCATGTGCTCGTTATGTTTCAAACTCCATAGTTTGGTCCATCCGCTGCAACCAAAATGAATCCAAAATGACCACAGCCGCTGTTCTCCTGCACTGAGCTGAACTGAAAACTTTTAACAACCACCTTTCAGCAGCGGATTTGATTGAAAAGATTTTGGGTGACGTGTTTATTTACTTTTATTTAATCCTTTATTCAAACATGTCTCATTGAGATAAATCTAAGAGGGGCCGACTGCGTCAGACGGGGCACTTTGATAATTCAGTGATGATTCTGTGATACAGGACTGATGCAAACTGAGTCGTTAACTATTTTAACGCCATTTTAATTTGTCTAAATATGGAGCTGCAGACTAATGCATTATTATTTGAGTCAGCCTTGACTCATGTGTACAAGTCAGTTAGGTTAAATCATTTTCAATTTTCAGCTCAGCAGGTGACAACCGCTAAAGTCACACTTGTGCCATAATCCTAAAATTCTTCACGTTAACACAAATTGAAGCAGATTTTAACTGGCTTCTTTTTCCTCTTACTCTAGACAGCAACAGGCTCTTTTTAATATTACCCTGTCTCATATTCACACTTGGAGCTTCTCAGTGCAGTCAAAGTCTGCTGAGCTCTGCAGCCTGAGACTTTCAGAGTCACCATAAAGTTTCTGAGAGGAGGCATGCGTCTCAAATCTCTTGTCTACAACATAAGACAAACTGGGAATGCAGCACTAAATGCAGTGTATAAATACACCACATGGATGGAAATGATTCACTGCAATTCATGTTTGAGTGGATTTTAGTCTTGATGACATCATGAACTCTCACAAACCTGTGTGAAACTTCGTACAGGCTGTAAATGCTGTTGTATTTGTAAGTGTTTAAGTTTTTCCATCATCGCTGTTTGATTAAATTAGACCTGACACACTTGCAGAGGGATAAGAAGGATGTTCTGGCATCCTGGAACTACAACAGGAGCTTAACAACAGATTCCCACAGGCTCGTGTTCCTCACCCATTAAATCAGAGTATGGCTTCTAAGTAGCCTCAGTGAACCTGAGTCGGACTCTTATATAACAGGAATGATTGATTTGTTTCTCTGAAACCACTTTTCATAATGTCTGATGTGATTTGTGTTGTTTGTAGTACAGTTGCTGTTTGGTTAAATGTTGCTTTGTTTTTTTATATTTACGCAAAACAGTTGGCGTCCTGGGATGCAGAACAAATTTCAGATTTTTTTCCGTCAATAACTGGTGGTATAACTCAAAATCAAATCAAATTAAAAGGTAACACTGACATTACTGATACATACATTTGAGGTGTAATATTGTGGATGCCAACAATAGCAACAACTGATCAATTTATTTATTTAATTTATTCCTCTTTTAAATTATTTCTGCACAAAAATATTTATATTTTACTGGCTCCAGCTCCTGTGATATTAATTTTTACTTTATTTTAGAGAATAGTGAAGAGCATTTTTCAATATTTTATGATATTTCATAAGCTAAAATAATTGTCAGATTAGTCAATCATACAACAAAAAAATCATGAGTCGCAGCTGTCTAATAAAGAGGATGTTGGTCATGTTTTTGATTTAGATAGTTGTCGATGAAATTAATATCAACCCTTTTCTTGTCTACCTACTGAGAATATCCTAATTTGTGACCAATAAAGACAAATAATGTTTCTCATTTTTTAAATTTTGTCTCTCTCTGTCAGGTCAGTCATGGAAGGCCCTTAGTGCCACAGACAAGCGACCATTTGTGGAGGAAGCAGAGCGTCTGCGTGTCCAGCACCTCCAGGATCACCCAAACTACAAATACAGGCCTCGCCGCAAGAAGACCACCAAAAAACTGAAGCGGGTCGAGCCGGGGCTTCTGCTCCACAGCTTAGCCCAGGGCGGGGCACCAGGCCTTGCATTAGGACACAGTGTCAACCCACTGGGTGCAGAAAGTGGAGGTTCTGCTTACGGACAGCTCGGTGGCCATCCCTCGCATCACCATCACTCCCACCACCTGCTGCACCCACTCGGGCACTTCAGGGACCTCCAGGCCCCGGGACACTCAGAGCTGGAGAGCTACGGCCTGCCCACTCCAGAGATGTCCCCTCTGGATGTTCTGGAAGATGGAGGTGGGGAATCTGTGTTTTTCCCCCAGCATGTGCAAGAGGAGGCGGGGATAGGGGGATGGAGTGGCTACCACCACCACCTCCACCATCATAACCAGCATTATAGCCATAATTACAACAACCACAGTCATCACAGCTCCTTAAATAGCTCAGCGACACACAGTCAGAGTTCAGGAATGAGTGTTGGTGCCAGTTTGAGTCCAGGTAGGAGCTCCAGAGTTGAGTCAAATATGAGCTCCAGGTTAAATCACACCTCTGGTCACCACATCGCTTTGAGGAGTCCTGTTAAGTGCCCACCACCTTTATCTGACTCCTCCTCCCCTGTCTCCTACACCCAGCCCTCCATCAGCCTCCCTGAGCCGATTAAATCCCACCAAACGCCGCATCAACCCACCGCTCCTGTCGGCTACTTTGGCCAAATGTATGGGAACAGTGCTCCAAATGCATACTACATGCCGTCTCACCTGGGCCAGCTCTCACCTCCTCCTGAGAGCTCTCCTTCTTCCTGCTCGTCCTCCTCCATCCCCACGTCAACCTTCCCTCCTCCTTTTCACTTAGACCCCTCAAATCCCGATTCCTCCTGCCATCTGGGGTCTTCCTCTGCTGAGTTCTGGTCCGAAGTGGACAGGCATGAGTTCGACCAGTATGTGAATGTTGGAAGGAATCGAGAGGAGGCCTACGGACGTGGTGGGAGCTGTGGAGGTGGCTCCAAAGTCCTGAGTGGGCGCAGTAGCAGTAGTGTAGGTAGCAGCATGAATAGCAGCATTCTTAACAGGGATGTCAGTAGCATTTTGAGCGGTGCTGGTGGGTGTGATGAAGGGAGCAGCCCTCTCATCTCTGCTCTCTCTGACGCCAGCAGTGCTGTCTATTACAGTGCCTGTATCACTGGATAAATACTCAAAGATCTCATCTCTCTTATGTACCTCCTTGCATACTGCACAGTTTGGTTTGGTTCATTTGATACACGTGAGGAAGTATGTTGGGAAGTTTAGTTTCGGCTCATATTCTTAATCAGTGCCATGCCTTGCTAATTCCTCACAGATTCTAAAATTAATACGTTTTTGTAAATGCCAAAAAGAAAAACGCAGATGAGTGTTTTCTTCAAATAAACTCTTACTGGAGCTGAAGGAGCCAAAACTTAATTTTTTAAAAATGTGCTAACTGGAAAAAAAAAACTTAACTGGAAAAGAAAGCACTTTTATCAAATGAAATAAAACACAAATGCTAATGACTTAGTTTTGGATTATTAATTCATTCCTGAACATTATATGAAAAAGTTGGCTGGCTAGCGAACCAGCTTTTCCTTGATAGCTGCGTGCCATGCGCCTGGTGTGTCTAGTTTAGACCAACGTCAACTTGCAAGCATGAGTAGTTTATGGCCATAGGAATGAAGCTCATGGCACCTTTCTAGGCAGATCACTCGCAGAGGGTTTTTTTGCTGAGCAACTTCAAACCCAGCTATTGTCAGTCATTTAGCTAACATAGAGGATTACATTCGCTAATGTTGTTGGCAAACTTAAAGGCACACTTCACCTGCAAAATGACTACTTGTATTTTAGTTGCTCTCTGCGTGTTAAACTGAAATTGTGAAGAAAACTTTGTTTTTTCTTGCAGGCCTCCACGGTGAACGGAGAATCCAAAAAAGACAAACATTCTTCATGAATGGAAGTGAATGGGGTCCACATTTAACATCAGCAAAACTATATCAAAACATCAGTTTACAAACAACTTGTACAGTATAATTCAAGTCTAATTTATCCAGTCGTATGCTCAGTGCCTCCTACGTACCTTTATGATATAACGATACAACAGAGAATACTTAAATCTACAAGAAGTGTACCCTGAGTGTGTGTGAGACTGTTTATACTGACAAATGTTCTTTAATTTGCATATGTTTTAGATAAAATGCACGTGTTTAGGATGTACTGAGCATACAACTGGAAGAATGAGACTTGCTGTTGTTAAACGTGGTCCCCATTTACTTCTGTCCATGAAGAATGTCTGCCTTTTTTGGATTCTTCGTTCACCGTAGAGGCCTGCAAGAAAAACAACGTTTCCTTCATGAATTCAAGGAAACACAAGATGAATACTTGATATACAAATGGTCATAATGTGGGCGATGTAGTCCTTTAAGGAGGGAAAAAAAATCCCTGATAATTTCTGTTGCATCACTCCAAGCTTGATGCTCTTTATCAAGTCTGTTGATCCAAATTAATTAGCACAGAAAAAACACTTCCTGACACGGTGCTGTTCTGCTCAGAGGTTGTAATATTTTGACTTTGGTAAATAAAATAAAGAAATAGGCCTGAGTGTGATGGACAGATAAACAGAAGGCAGCTGGAGAGCATGTTAAATTAACATTGTGTTTTTAACTTACTTATGAAGGGTGCTAGATCTGTGTTAGCATAATGCTAATAACAAGGAGTCTATATCGATATCTGGATACATTTATGACCTGAGGTTGCTCTGGTGGACGTAGAATTCAACAAGTGCTAATCTGAGTTGAAGTACCTGCTCCTGCCTGTTGCAGGGCTTTTGTTTCTCCAGTGACAGTACATGCTATTGGAAGCAAAAGGACTCCTTTAGTTGCACTGTGTGTACTCTGGTCATCAGAAGAATCCACAACTATGACAAACCTGAATTTCAAGATCATCTAATTTCATTTTTGACATTTAATCTCAGGACCAGACAACTATTCATCTCCACTGAACTTCACGAAGTTTAGATTTATTCATCTCGTTTGATAAATGGCAGCATGGAGGACAATGTAGGAGACACTCTGGAGATGGACATAAAGAAAGAGACTGGATGGGAGAGACTTGATCCAGCCTCCACATATCTCACAGTGTTGTCGGGAAAGCCTTGGCCACCGACCCAGAACAGACCACTGATGTCTCCCACAAACTATCCGGATGTTTTACACGCTGGGTAGGGTTTTTTTATTCTGTCCGTGATACATGCCGTTCCCTCTCTGTCTCAGTCCATGACAGGGCCTCACGTCAGACTCTATGCCAAAATCTGCAAGTCTTAAGTTGCTTTGCTTCCTGGCAAACACAGATATGTTGATGAATCAAAGATCATTCTTTTAACCAGTAAGCCTCTCTGGTATAACAAACATATCACTTGTTTAAACAAAATGTCTTTTTTTCCACGTTAAGAAGTGTAATTTTGTTCTACATGTAACAGAAGATTGGGCTCTACAAATGAAGTGCCTCTGGAACAAGTCTTGTGTGGTAGATCATAAAACAGCTCCATTTTATACTTTAAAGTTCATCCTGTCCAACGTCGAAGTTTGACCACTCTAATTACAAATTGTTCCGTCCTTAATTTCATTGAGACGTTTAAGGATAATAGTGAGTCTTGTGATTTTTTGGAAACCTTGTTTTGATGTAGCCTTTTACTGTATATATAGATGCTGTGCCTCTTGGCAGTATATGTGAAGGAGAAACTGCGACTATGAAATGTTCTCTTTGCACTGGGTTTAATGTCTTAGCTGTATAGAAGGAACACTACTTATTAAAATTCAAATGTCCATAATTTTAAATGTGTTTTTGTACAGAAAGGACTGTGCTTGTTTTGTTGTTTTATAGATGCTGTTTTATTGATGTCTTTTCTTAAGGGAATAATTTGACCTTGTAGGAAATGATTTGCTTTTTGTCTGAGAGTCAGATGAGAAGATTGATACCACTTGTGTGTCTGTGTGTTTGATACTGAGCAGAGTTGGGAGGCGATAAGGCGCGAAGAGTTAGCCTAGCTGTCTTCAAAATGAAAAAGTCTACAAACGGGAACTTTTAATACATAGCCACTGAGTAACATGTTGTCTCTGGGTTGTTTAAAGGGATAGTTTGGATCTTTTGATGTGGGGTTGTATGAGGAACTTATCCATAGTCAGTTTACCACGTCTCACTCTCAACTTTTCAAATACCGCCATTTTGTCAGTGGACCTTAACGGCCAGGCTCCACCGGGCACGTCAGCAGCGTGAGACGTCTGCAGCGCGAGTCCCGTAGCAGCTCGCCCCCCTGTTAATCAATTACAGCGGCTCCACCGGCAACGGGATCGGCACGACAACCCCCGTCTGTCGTGCGACAACTCTCTATTTTACGTGGCTCTTCTATTTTTGTCGCGCTACGCTCCCCTACGCGACCCTCCAGCAGATAAAAACTACATGAAATAGAGTGCTAAATAGGCACAATGTGTTTTTAAATGAATAAACCATTATCAGAGGTGATATGTGACGATTTTTTTTCATGTATTTACCCATGTTTATCCGTGACATTGTGTAAATGTCCATGGCGGACATTTGAAAGCGAGTAGATGACAAACAGTACAGTAAACTTGTAGATAACTCAAATATATGTAATAACTTAGGTGGGAAATGCTTTAACATTTCATGCAGCCTACATGCAGCCTCTCGGCTCGGCAAATGGTAAACAACCCCGCTGGCTTTTCTATGTGTTGCTTCCGTACGCAGTCAGTGGAGCCCAAATGAATACGCTGTGACACTACGCTGACGTGACGCTTACGTTTACAGCCAGTGGAGCCCGGCCGTTACGGCAGACACTGACACACAGAAGCATCCTTTAGCAGCAGCATGAGACATCTCGGGCTGAGGAATTTGCTGATACTCTACAACAGTGGTTCCCAACTGGTCCAGCCACGGGGTCCAGGTTTCTCCTTAGTCATTAGTTCAATCTCCACACAGTTTAAAATATTCAAAATTATTCTTGTGTTTTTCAGTGTTGTCGAGACAGTTTTAATGGCTCCGCTCAGAGTGGACCTGCGACCCACTAGTTGGGAACCACTGCTCTACAACTACCGTAGCATAAAGAGCAGAGAAAACTTCAGCAAACCCGGTGTTCATTTCCCGTGTGAAACCAAAAGTCAGTCGAGTTATCTTAATACTAACATAGTGTGCTAGTATGTTTAGCATGCTACGCTAGTGATGTATCACATGACAGTTGTTACATTACGTCAATAACAACCATACTCGTTTAAGCCAAACCAAGATTTTTTTTCTTTTGTTGCCTTAACTTAAGGACGTTAACCTAAAAACAAACTGTTTTACCTACACTGTAAGTTTACTTTGAAAAAGACGGTGTACATTTAACAAGCCAACACATTCTCACTCCGACCTCGTCACATATCGACGTTTGGTTGGTCATGGACCTTCCACGTCCACATACGACGTGCAAGGTACCCTGGGTGTGTTGGTTGTTGACGTTCTGGGACGCTGTTTCAACTTCTGCTCGTTACATGCATCGTCTTCTTTCAAAATACACTTTTGTTTTCACAGTAAATTTAACATTTACATACAGTCTCTTTCAAAATAAAAGCACTACGCTGGTACAACACCAAGAATTTACTTTTTTTTTCTTTCAACAGCAAACACACATGGTTGGGTTTAGGAAAAAAAAACAGGGTTTGGCTTTATAATCTTACGGTGCAAGAATGCCAGTAGAAAGTCAGTGTTTGTTGGACCCATCCCCCGCCCCTCCTGCCTGCTCTTAACTTTCGTTCTTGTCCTGCGGCGTCTCCCCCTGACGCTGCTGTTAAACTATAACGGCGACCGGCTGCATATCACGCCGACATTAAAGCATGGATTTTTTTGTCAGTGTCTGATGCTGCTAGACAAAAACAGTAATTTAACATCACTGAACACAGGAGCTACTCGTCTACCGCTGCCTTGATCACTGAGTTTGTGTTATTGTGTGACTTTAAAAAGGTTTGTTCGGATTGCTGACCGCCATCTACTGTAGGTAAAACACTGGCTGTGAGTAAGTACCTCATGTAACCCCACTTTAACAGATCCAAACTATCCCTTTAATCTGAACACGAGCAGAAACGTTAAAGTGATCATTTGTGGTTTTCGGGGGAGTGGTGCTGTGCAATTACTGCTCCTGCGTAACTCTTCGTAAAACCACAGACTGTTGACTGTACCCTCTAATTTATAAAAGGCGTTAATTAGGCGAGCTGTGCCCTCTTGCTCATTGCCTTTGAAGTTAAGCTAATCGCCTCCCGACACCAGCTCGTTATTGATCTCACACACATGACAACCATAATGATGTCCACGTTATCAGGAAGAAAGTGTATTTCCCCAAATGTTGAGCTATTTCTTTGAAGATGATTTGAACATAAAAGCATCGGAGCAGTGACTGGACTTTTGTGTGCTCTGTGTGTGTGTGTACGGAAATCTATAATTGTAAAGATCTCTTGTAGATCTCTTGTTAAACTTCACTCCACCAGTGACACCAGCAAACCAGAAACTCTCCCTCCCACACCGATGTTATTGAGCTGGAAATTAAAATGAAAATCTGTGGTTTTGTTTTGTGCTGAGAAAATGAAAAATCAACAGTTGTAGCCACTGTCGAGGTCTCTCTGTATGTGTTTATGTAGCATCTACTCTGTAATATTTATGTATACAGTGGGAGCAAAAAAAAAAAAACAACAGAAGTCACTCTTCAAGAATTTATCCTGCATCTGTTCTGCATTAGTCCTACAGACAATACTTTTTTGGGGGCATGAAACAGTAGAAGAAAATCGTGTATCTTGTACAGTGAAACCAGTTATATTTACCACACCGTTCCTTGTGGCCACCATTGGTTGAAAACAGAGC